GAGTAGCCAGTTATTTTAGTGTCGGACCGGGAGAGGCCACTGCTCCAGCAGGTTATATTGCGGGTATGTTGTCTTTTTCTTTTCTTCGGTTGTTATTAGTTTTCTTATTGCTTGGAATTTTATATTGATTTGGGTAAGCGTTATCTTCGGGTTATTGATCTGTTATTGTTGGGTTATATCTTCGGGAATTGTTTCATGTCTCTTGCATGCCATGAATCATTAGTGGGTCATTGAGGGGTTGTATCTTGTGTAGCGGGTTCCAATGTGTTTGATTGTTATTTTGGGTTTGGTCAAGATCGGTTCAGGGGTTTTGGTGTGGAAAATCTTTGGTCAGGATTCAGCGGGTTACTTCTCTAGTATCGCCAGGGTTCAATGATTTCAGCATTTGTTCTGGTAGGAGCGGCAGTTGCCTATGGAAGAGTTGCAGGGTTCAACCACTGTAACGCCCGTAGATCCGGGCTAGTCAATTTAGAGACGATAAACATCAAAAATGACTTTTTGATGGAAGATTATTTAGAAGGATTAATCTTAACTAAGTTGTAGTATATGTTACAAGGATTCTGTACATATAAAGAACGCCGAAATCCGAGTTATAACAAAGAAGTTATGACCTGTCGAAGTTTCGCGACAGAACCGGCACGACACAGCACGACGTAAAATGTGAGTTTACGATAGAGCGATTTTTAGCCTTAGTGATCTAAACGAAAGTTGTAGAATACGTTAAACCGATAGCGTACATAAAAAGAACGTCAAAATCTGACTTCGTATGAGGAAGTTATGATTTTTCTAAGTTTCAGCTTAACAGTATGCAGTCCGAAGTTCGGTTTTGAGATCGGTTGATTTTTAGCCGAAACAATCTAAACGGGAATCGAAGATCTCGTCAATAGTAGTGCAACGGTAAAAAGACAGACGAAAACGGATGTCAGATGAAGAAGTTATGGATTTGTAACGGAGTTTTCCTATCCCGGCCTACTAAAAATAATATAATAAAAATAAAGTCAAAATTAGCCAATGGAGTCTAAACGAGAGTTGTAGAGCATGATCTCACCTACACGTGGATATAAAGAACGTCGAAAATGGAGCTCGTATGAGAAAGATATGAATTTCTGAAGTTCGGGACGCGAACCCCGATACTGTGTCAGAGTTCACGACGTGAACTCAGTATTTATGACTTCTGGAGCCTGACAGACGTAAGTGGCGATGACGCACCTGATGACTATTGAACTCACGACGTGAATTTTTGAGATTCACGACGTGAATCCATAAAAAATGACCCTATAAATAGAAATCGAAGGGCAGCCGGTTTTGGTTGCTATTTTCTTACTCTCCCACTCTCTATACCCTCTCTAAGCCTTCTGGAAGCCCTCCCGAAGCCCTGATATTATCCCGAGACCCGAAGCGAGTCCCGAAGCTCCGAAGATCCCGAGAAGAAAAGAGTTTCAAGCCGAAGCTCTGCCCGCGAGAAACCCGGTGTGAGAAGATATCCCGGTTTCACCGAAGAGTTACTACTTGGAGAGCCGTAGTGCTGTCCGACAATCGTCGTATCAAGTGAGTGTGTAGTTACTTTCTTCTACCGCATAGATATGAAGTATTTGCTATGAAATATGTGTTATGTGTTTATACGTTGTTTGTTTACTTGAGATGGTTGTTGAATGAATGTTTTATACAGGTTTTTAAATGATTTAAACTATATATGTAATTTATATCTACAAATATGTTGGGTAGAACATGGGTAGATGGAATAGTTGGTGTGTAAGGAAAGATGAGTTTGAGGATGAGACGAAAGATGATATAGGTCGTGAGATGAGGGTGACAGGTGAAAAATGAGTGAAACCTTTACCCAAACGATGCCCCCCGTCATTCAGCAGAGTAGGGATGACAACCACGGACTATTCTAGACAGTCCAGTGGAACACTAGCAAGCTCGCAACTTGTAGGTGTTGTGGACTTGATGTTCACCGGTGAACTCTAAAAACCCTGGCTGCTATGGATTTAGTGCCTTATATAAATACAATGGTAGCTACGGAATTAGTATTGTGTAGATGAACAATGGTAGCTATGGAATTAGTACTGTGTAGACGAACCTTGGTAGCTATGGATTTAGTACTGTGTAGATGAACCATGGTAGCTATGGATTTAGTACTGTGTAGATGAACCTCAGGCAACAATGGACATTGTGCCAATTCCTTAGGTCAATCCTTAGGAACGAATGAATGAAGGATAGTGGATTCTTAGGGTAAGACCTTAAGAAACAAAGAAGATAATGGGGATGGGTAATTGGATTAATTGTTTGATGATTAAATATAATAATTATATTACTGTGGGTTGAAAACCCTACATGCTCACCAGGCTCCCAAGCCTGACCCACTCAGTTTTCTTTGCATTACAGGTAATGACACAAGAGTATAAGTTGGTGGACTTGACGAGAGATTTTGGATTATAGATCAGTAGTTATAAATAACTGTTGTAAGGTCTATTTTATAATGTTTATGCTTTTGGTCTGTATCGGAACATGACATCCCGAGATTTTATTATTTAATGAAAAGTACATTCTCTTTGAGAAATGTTTTGATAAAGTTTTATCATATCTTCTTTGGGAACAAATTCCGCAACCGTTTTCTTTAAAAGATTACTCTGATTTTTCAAACAAAGCATAAACAAATCGGTCTTTTCTGGCCGTGAAATTGGGGATGTCACAAACACTGCCGCTGCTAGGAAGGGAGCGGTAGCAGGAAGATGGTGGGTCAGTTGCTTGAGCAGTTGTTGGTCATCGGAAGTGCCAGGGGAGTTTTATATCCGCATGGGTTGTTGTAACATCCCAAAATTTAGAAGTATGATTGAAGGACTTAAGTGTAAATTGAAGAAGGTACTCGACGAGTAGGTATGCTTACTCGTCGAGTCGGAGCGGGTTCTGGTCGCGAGTTAAGTGACCAACTCGCCTAGTCGGTAGCTGGACTCGACGAGTTGGTGCTGAAAAGAGAAAACCCTAATCTTAAGGGTTGCACCCTATTTAAAGGACCATATGTCCTCCCTTCAGCCTCCTTATTGCCCTTGAGAGTCAGTAAACCCTAAAATCATGTGAGCTTCCATTGTTAAAGAGATTTGAGCTTTGGAGGAGGAATATTGAGAAGGGAGCTTGAAGATCAAGAGGCTAGCATCAAGGGATTGGTATAGATCCAGAATCTACTTCAGTGGAGGTAACAAGCTGTTACCTTGACTCTATTGCATTTATATCTATTCAAGAATGAGATTTGGGGCCATTTTGGCATGTTAAGGATCTATTTCGGGTTAGGGGTCTAGGTCTGAGGTTGCTACTTCATACCTAGACTTATCTTGGTCCAGAAACTCACAAAGTATCAGCCCTTGGTTTGTTGGTGAAGCATCCTTGTCTTAAACCTTAGCCCTAGATTGATTTGGGCCTATAGCTCTTTGTTTCCACGTAAAGTTTGCAACTTTACGTGAGAGTCATGCCCTAGAAGAGTGGATCTACAGTTTGGAGCCCCCGCATGACTCGAAAAGCCTCTGTATGAATAAAGGACTAAAGAGACTCGGCGAGTCTGTTCTTGGACTCGGCCAGTCTGTTGAAGATAGGCATGGACTCGACGAGTTGGAGGAACAACTCGGCGAGTCTGTTGAAGATTGTCGTGGACTCGGCGAGTCTGTTCTTGGACTCGGTGAGTCAGAACGCAAAACCCCAACCTCTTCTGGTTAAGACTCAGATCAGTGAGTTGAGTGGTGACTCAGTGAGTTGGACATGATAGGACTCAGAGATTGTTGAACTCGACGAGTCATGGGGTGACTCGGCGAGTCGAGTCGTGATATGAGAGTTTTCTGAGTTTAGGAACTCGACGAGTCAGCGGGTTGACTAGGCGAGTAGGGTCAATCAGGAAGGTTGACTTTGGCCAGGGCTTTGACTTTGACCAGTTTGACCTTCAAGGGTATTATGGTAATTTGGATATTTATGTCAATGGATCATTGATGGCTATAGGTGTTGGAGTTTGGGGCAGTGCTTCGGGATTGTGCTTTTGTGGTTCGGTTCGGCAGTTGCAAGATGAGTTGTCCTCACTATACCCAAGGGTCTAAGGCACCAAGGTCGGCCCTTTGATTTGTTATTTGAGATAGTTACTACTGTGATATGTTAGTTGGCATCCTGGTAGATAGGATGGATATATGATGGTATGTTCTGTTAGTTGGCATCCTGGTAGATAGGATGGCTCTATGATGGTATGCTCGGTTAGATCGATATTCTGGTAGATTGGATGCGGCTATGCTTAGTGACCTGTAGTTGGTCTGACTGTCTGTATGCTGGTAGGAGATTACATGTTATATGTGCACGTGTTGAGCAGTAGTAGAGGGTATTCCATCCCGGTAGGATGATAGGGCCCTAGTATGTTGTCTTGTAGACTGTTATGTGGTTATTTGATAGGTGCACATGTTTGCTAGTATGTGGGTATTCCAACCCGATGGTTGAGGGCCAGGAGTATTCCATCCTGGTAGGATGATTGGACTCATAGTAGGTGGGCATTCCAACCTGATGGTTGAGGGCCTGGGGTATTCCATCCCGAGGGATGATTGGACCCATAGTAGCTATTGTATGTATAGTAGGTGGGCATTCCAACCCGATGGTTGAGGGCCAGGAGTATTCCATCCCGATAGGATGATTGGACTCATAGTAGGTGGGCATTCCAACCTGATGGTTGAGGGCCTGGGGTATTCCATCCCGAGGGATGATTGGACCCGTAGTAGTTATTGTATGTATAGGTGTGTGGGCATTCCAACCCGATGGTTGTGGGCCGAGAGTATTCCATCCCGAGGATGATTGGACTCGTAGTATGTTGGCATTCCAACCCGACGGTTGAGGGCCTGGGGTATTCCAACCTGACGGTTGATTGGACCCATAGTATGCTGTTTATTGTTGTATGTGTATGGTTATGTGTGTACGGGTATTTTGGGGGAACTCACTAAACTTTCGAGCTTACGGTTTTCAGTTTATTGTTTCAGGTACATCAGGTGATCGTGGCAAGGCAAAGGCGTGATCGTACCGCTCCTCATATTTCATGATTTTGTGATTTGGTTCTGGGGATACTCTGATGTTTAAACTATTTTGAAAACGAGTTGTAATAACTTAATGGTTTTGAATGGGTTAAAATGTTTTAAATTGGCTTGAATTTTATGGGTGTTACAATTGTAGTCGGTTAGAGTTCAGTAATTCTTTGAGAATGGAAATTAGAATGGATATCCGTCAGTGCATGGCAAGGGTTGTGGTTTTTTAGTTATCAACATAAGAACTTAAGGAATTGGTATGGTATCATGGGAAGTGATTTGGATTATCGGACTAGTTAAGATTTCAAGAGCATTGTTTAGGATTTTAGGAAATGGGCGATCATTGAGTTTGGCTAACAATGGAACGTTAGTACTGATTAGTGCAGGACATAGGTTGTTCATGCTATATGAGGTTGATGGTTGGGAACCCATCAGATTTAAGGGACGAGAGAACTTCTTCGAAACCAAGTGGGGGGAGAATCGATTAGGTTTTTCCGGGAGGCAAGAAGGGTGTGAACTAGGGCAAGTTTTCACATCTTGGCCAGGAGGAGAGACTAATCAAGTGGCCGTTTATATTGAGGTTGTGTAAGTGGGAGTTCAGGAACTTCCAACCACTTGTCGGCGTCTTCTATATTATGCATAACAGGCTTGCGGTTGAGCCTAGGTTGAGGGCTTCGGAATTCAAAGTATGACCGAACACCTGATTTGATGCAGTTGGATGCAGGTTTCGGATCAGGATGAGTGGGGTTGAGACGATTTGGGGGTGGTAAGGCCATGGGCGGTATCCATGGTCGGCTTGAGGTGTTGTAAAACTGCCATGGGATCGTAGCATTCACCAGTTCGAGGTAGACTATCGTTGATAGTGGTCATGGGTGTAAAGGGACAAAGAAGCATAAAACCATAACATGAAGAGATCTAAACAAAGAGTAGCCAAGGTATGAACTTTATACCTCAAAAGTCACCAAAATATGGAGCTAAATCAAGATCTCTAAGCTTCTCCCCAATGAATGAGTCTTCCAACTTCTTCTTCTATCACTTCATGGAGCATAAACAACCAAAAATCAAGACCAAGGCTCAAGAACACTTAAAGATGCTATTAGGGTTCGAGATTAGGGTTTTAGGGTAATGGAGGTTGATAACGAGGCCAACCCTATGGACTTAAGGAGCTTATATAGGGTGCAACACCCCAAATTAGGGTTTCACTAAAACGCATGTACGCCCCGCGTACGTGCCCGAAGGCGCGATCCATCCTCGCATTAGACGCTAAGCGTACACACATGGTACCGCCCCGGAAACTAGCTTCTCAGCTAGTACGTTAAGCGTACCCCGTGGTACGTCCCGCGTACTGACAATAAAGGCCAAAAGTGAAATAATTAAAATACGAAGGACCAAAAGAGAACATACCCATAACAAGCGCTACAGGTTTTTGGGTGTTTTGGATTTCAAGACATTCAAAATGACTATATATGATAGTCACTGGGTGGACGGCTATTTTTCCAGCTTGGTCGGAGTGTGATACAATATACTTGTTTTTCAATTAAACTACCTAAGTAATAGTCATTTATAAGAAAATGTTATTTGATGATTAGTTAATTCAAACTTTTTGTATAAGCCTTACATCCTTATCAATATATAGAATGCCCACTGGTTTTTGGTGTTTTGGATTTCAAGAAATGTAAAATGACTATATATGATAGTCACTGGGCGGACAACTATTTTTCAGAAGATAAATCTTGGTTTATAGCTATGCAAGCCTATATCCACAAACCCCTAGTGTGTATCAAGTATTGGGGTCCCAAACCCATTGATGTAATCCCCTTGAGAGTTTCAAAATCACCCTTGAAAAGGGCCTATACATACCACAACAATCTAACAATAAAGAGGATTGTGGGCTGGGGTGTTTTTATGTTGGTTCATAGAGATGTTGATTAGGGGAAATCATTTAGGATAGAGGGTTCAACCGAAACCTAGGCCATGTCATATCGCAAACGTTACATGGAAATTTTTTGAGATACAAAGATAATATAATGGTCCATTTGAACATTGTAGTATTATTTAAAACATATTTAAAACATATATATATATATATATATATATATATATATATATATATATATATATATATATATTTGCAGTTTATAATCTAAAAACCATTAAAACCATAAGTAAACAAAAAAAATTAACACACAACACAAAACCATATAAAAACAAAAATAAACAAAAAAATTAACTCTTAACATAAAAATGATCACTATGAAAATGATTAAATTTAATATATATATATATATATATATATATATATATATATATATATATATATATTATATATATATAGAAAATGAATAATTAGGGCATACCTAATTTTGTAGCAAATTACATAAATGGTCCATATGATTTTATTAAAACTACATGTTTAGTACATACGCAATTCTACATTAACTTTCAATTAAAAAAAAAAACTGCCTTTTTAACTTGCACGGTTTGCGCCTTTGCGGTGACCACGTAATTAAAAACTTTCATTTCCAATTAAAAAATATAGAAGATAAACTGTCTTTTTGACTTGCCGGCGTTATTAGTGGTATGAAATCGGCAACAATAAACATTCCTAATTCACTTTAATTCTAACCAAATTAATATATTAACTACAGCCAAACGATTAAATTTATTTTAGTGCATATTACCAAAAATCCAAACGTATTAAATTTACAAACATTTATTGACTTTGTCAACAAAATATATAGTATATGAACAAGGTAACCGTCATTTTCCATAAAAGATATGCAATTAAAGTCTAACGTAAGTCGGCATATCTGGACGTGAGTGGAGGAATGAAGTCCTTAGAATATAGATTGGTTGGAGTTTTATTTTTAATAAGTAATAAATGATTACTCCAATTTCTTGGTAATGATTCACGGAAAGTATTATTTGTCAATTTGAATTGTAATAACTAGGAACGATCACACGGTTATGAATGGTAAATATGTAAAAAAAAAATGATATCATTTCCATGTTTGAAATGTTTAAGGACTAAATGTATAATTTTAACCTTTGTAATTTAAATAAATTCTATCCATAAAGAAACTGACATATGTCTATTGGTTATTGGTTCTTAAGATAATGCCCTAATTATTCATTTTCCATTGAATCTATCCCTATATATATATATATATATATATATATATATATATATAAATTCGTCCGAAATACTACTTCGAAATCCTGCCTTGTTTCCAAGTTTTTTATTTATTTATTTATTTTTTTTTTGTAAATTTAGTAAAGGAAAGGGAAGAGAAATATTGATAGAAAGAAAGGGAGGGGAAGAATATATATATATATATATATATATATATATATATATATATATATATATATATTCTGTGCTCCAGAGTTCGGAAGAAATGAAAGGAAAATTTTAAATTTTTATGTTCCGGAGTTATGAGGGAAAATAAAATAAACTTAAAGATTTTTCTTTCCCCCACTTTCTTTCTAAATCCGTCCAATTTGAAAGAAAATTTTGGAAGTAAAATATGGCTTCAAAATCCATTCCTTCCCCTCATTTATCTTTCATTAATGAAACTCGTGAACACGATTTTCCTTCGACATCCCTTACTTTCTCTCTATTTTCATCCATATCCCTCTTTAAGCTGAACTCGGCAGTATTAGTTATTTTTTTCTACATAATTTATTTATATGTCAACTAGTTTATAACCCGTGGTAATCATAGTTATAAAACTGATTAAGCTTTTATAATAAAAATTTATAATTATTAATCAATTAATTTACATAAATCATTTTAAATAAATTATTAATTAAGAGATATATCAAAATTTTAAAGTTATTATAACTTCAAATTTAACATATAATTAAAAAAATGTAAATTTGAATTTTGAAATGAGTTGCCTAATATATTTACATGACACATGACATAATATTAAGGAGGAGTTATATTAGAGTGACACTTGACAAAAAGAAATTAAATTTATTAGAATAGGGATTCCAAAGTTTTAATCATAGTAAATTAGTTTTGATTTGTTAAATACTTAAATTGATGAGAATCATACGGTAGACTACCACGACCCGAATTCACGTGGGAGTTCAGTGCCCCCAAATAACAAACAATAGCTTCTCTTTCACACTTCCAGTTATGGCGCTAAAATCACACTGATGAAGTAGGGTTTTCAGTTTTCTTAAAGACCTCCCCGCCATTTTCGAACAAAAAGTCATCTCATTCAATCCATCATGGCTAACATTGGAGATGATAACAACAACCTCCAGGTGACGCCTTCAAACCCTAGCCCTAACCCTAAACCCGACAACAACAACATCACCCCCGTCGCCGATGGCGATTTGTCTGGTTCATCGCCGAGTCCTGTAGATTTTATACGATCAGTGGCTTCAAAACTCGCATCTCAGCCTTTACAGTACTCTGAACCTGATGTATGGGGGGTACTCACTGCCATCTCTGAAAAAGCCCGCCGTCGCCGTCAGGTTTTTAATTTTCTGTGAACTTGATTAATTGTTTTGACTTGATGTTTTCGCTTTGATTTCTTTGCTCAATCATGTTAGGAAATGCTCCATACTGAGAAACGTTTTGACTTCGAAACTGAGGTGAATTGTTTAAATTCTGTGAAATGCGACCCCTATTTGCCAGTAGAGTAACAAGTTGTTGAGTTTGGTGCACTTTGCATATGGTTTTTTGATTAGAGAAGTAGATTTGACACCAAATCTAACATGCATTTCGTTTTATGGGAACATTTTCTGTGATGAACTGATGATTATGGGCCAAAAGAATAAGAATGTTGAATTTTTAGTAAATTCTTTATTAGTTTGTAATTTTGAACATTAAATAAGTGTTTAATTTTGTTTAGGCTATGATGTGTCAGTAATGGGTAGGAATATTGAATTTCTTTACCCAATTGAACTTGGTTGAAAGTTATTTTCTAGCAATTACATTTGATGAAAGTTACCCTACCCTGATAATAGTATTGATAAA